TGTTATTGCTGTAGCCAGGACTTCCAGCACTATTAGTATAAACAGATAAATGTGAAAGATATTGGGCAGCCTACCATGTCTGCTCCAGTCTTAGTGTGGGGAATGATTTCAATTTTTCCCCCATTGTAGTATGATTTGCTATGGTCTGTCATTATATGGCTGTAATCAATTTCTTAAGAAATACATCACATGTCTCTTTCTAGCCATTTTGTATAAGGTTCGCATCATGGACAAAGGGTTGAATTTGTCAAAATAGTTTTTCTAGTACTATTCTATTGACAAGAATCATGTAGCCTCTCTGTTTGTTGCATTCAAATACATTTCGATATATGTAGAGAATGCATTTATATAATGATTTTAAACGATATCCAAGCCTACACAACAACAGGATTAGTTGAACAAAATCCCTGCATCTCCTGGATGAATCCATGCTGGCAACTCACAGGTGGTAGGATTATATATTTTTGATAGCTCCTTGGAATTCGTATAGTACAGATTTTGTTGAAAATTATGGCTCCATCTAACGTTAATATATCATTAAGGAAGATATATAGGACTCTGTAAGTTTCTATTATTGTTAGACTCCTTTCCTGGTTTTGGGTAATACATGAATAACTAATCGCTCATAAAATACGATCAACACTAAGGGTGATCGGAAAAAGAAGAGTATTACCATATTATACTTCTACCAAACTAGATATGATGAATATTCTAGCAGAATGTGTAGGTATAGTATCTTCATGTGTAAAATATAGTGTCAGGATATAAATTACCGATAGTGAAAAACCATCCTGACCGGACTACTTTTTGTCATAGGAGATTTCTAATGCTTGTTATCTATTATAGCTGTTCGAGATTGAGTCTGTTCAGAAATCTAATTCTTCCTGGTTGAGCCTAAGAGTGATGCTGTGATAGTTTCTAGATAATTGTCCAATATCCTCACATTTCAGTTTGTGTGCATAAAATTATATGTAAAGATTAATTGCATTAAATATCTATATATACTTCAAGTAGATTACTAGGAATCAGGTTTAATGAAATTATCTCCTATATATTGTCCTGGATGGAGACCTGATTACACGAATACTTCTCTTTTCTGCCTTTCATTAGCTAATGGACAAACTGGCAATGATAGATGTTGTATGTTTGTTATTTTTTTATATCTCAATCAACCAAAACCAAGCTTATTTTGTATAAAATCTCAACTGAATGTACCACTTTCTCAGATATTCGTTTAGTTCAAATTTGATCTGTTGATTTCACTTTTCTGACTGATTTGGAGGAGTTGTCTGTTACGTTCTTATATTCAGCTTCTTTGATTCTTATTAATAGATTGTACTAATTTGTGCTCTTTGTAAACTTTCGTTATATGAGACAATGTATGGAAAATAAACTGAGTCACTTCAACTCTCAGAAATTGCTATAGCATGTCCCAAGAAGAGTTAGAATAAAAGTATGTCTCTCCATTGCATTTTCATCCATATAATCAAATTCTCTAATTTCTCCCACTCCTTGATCTTTCATTTATGAAGTAATCATTTATAGAGGTTTTAATTATCCACGTGTTTCAGATGTGTAGGAAATGTCGAGTTCCTTTAATAAAAGTTCATATTCTACCTACATATATTTCACACTGTATCTGAGAAAGTATAATATGTCATAGATTCTATTTTTATTAAATTCCCTTAGAATTATATTGTTACCATAAAATATGGTCATACCATCTAATGAAAAATGTCCGTGAATACCAGCTAGATGAAGAAAGAACGTATGATATTCAGTGAGATCAAAACCTTATACAGTAGGACATCCAAATCGATACTTGTATAAATTCAGTACAGACCAATTGTTTGCAGAGTTATTATTTAAGTCCATTATTTCTTTATTAATTATTCGTATGCGCAGCAGCCTCTGATACTCATGCCACTCAATGGTAGCAGTTGTTGAAATCTCCGAGTGAAAATTAGAATCTATTTATTGAAAGTTGCTTTAATCCATTTGCTTAGATCTTAGTAAGTTTGCTAAGCTTGGGTGCATATCATATTTAAGATTGTTATCTCTTTTGTTGAAGTGTGCCTTCACATATATAAATGACCCTCTTTGTCTTTCACTACTTCTGAACCAAAAAATACCCACATATTAAAACACAAACATAACATAATCTGTTGGTTTAAGACAGATAAATTCGTACTGAACTTAACGAAACCGACGCAGCCTTCTTTTGGCTACTCCACTTGCCTGAAAATACTGGTCTCACCTTTTGGAGTGGGCCTCACTTCTTTCCACCCTCCCCAACTCCGCAGCTACTCCTGGGCCTCTGCCAGCAGGCCAGACCACAAGCCACCAGGCCTCCCCGGACTGTGATGCCGGCGGGGAGGTTCCCTGCGCAGGAACGCCACCTGGGCTGGATGTACAGCCTCCTTTTGGGAGTAAGGTTGCCCTCTAGGATGCTGATCTGCCCCTGAAGGCATACACACCTCAGTAGGCCGTTCACGTATTTCCCTTCTGTGCCCCAGGCAATGTGAGACCTCGGTGCATGGGATCTGGTCTGCAGGTCCGACCTCTGGGTCCCAGAGTTCAAACTGTATCCCCACCAGGGAGAGGAGTGCCAGTCCCAATTCACCCACAGGGAGCCCAAGCTGGGTCTATGTCTCTAAGCCTCAGGGTCTGCCCCGTTCTCCTGGGATCCCCGTGCCAGCAGCACCTGGGAGGGCTGGCGAGTAGGGAGCTCACAGTCTGAGTTCCCCTTAGTTAGCTGTAGGGTCCCAAAAGGGAAGGTCCCGTTTCCTGGAGGTGCCTCCAGCTGGTGGCTATATTGTCTCTCTGGGCACCCGCGGGTAGGGTCGGCGGAGGGGAGAAGGAGGCAATATGGCGCCTGCCGCCTGGCTCTGGTCTGTGCACACGGAGGTGCCCCAAGGAATTTGGGAACCTGGTGCCGCGTCTGCTACAGGCTCACCATTAGCTGGTGGTGGCCGTCTCTGGGCTGGTGTCCGCAGGTCTCTCCACCCGTTGCGGAGCCCACCAGTAGTCCCAGATGCAGGGGAGGGGAAACGGCACATTCACCTACCCTTCCCGCTGGTGTCTGGGCTGCTCTGGCAGTCTCAGCTTCCAATTCTCCTCCACAGCCTCCTCCCGTGGAGTCTCCCATGGTCTCAGGTACTCCTCCCTCCAGCCCTGTCCACTGTATGCTCGTCTTCTTGCTTCTTTTTTCTAATTTCTGCTAGAATCTGTCTTTTCTGCAAAGACACTTTGTCTGGCAGTGTTTCTCGTCCGCCATCTTGATCCTCCCCCGAAATGAAATTATTAAGCCTATAAAAGAAGGCTTAATGTATTAAGATTTCAAAATTGTTTTTTACTGCTGAACCTAATCTCTATTTCCACAGGTCTTTTGTGGTGGCATTTATTTCAAGTTCAACTTCAGTTTGTATGTACCCTTTCCTATTTTCCAATCTAATTTCATGTTTCCTAAGTTGCTCCATCACCTCCACTTTCACCCATCATGTTTGTCTTATTCAAAGCCAAGCACTAAATCCAGCTTTTGCTCCAAATCTAAGACTATCCCCTGGTCTGAAATACTAGTGTTTGTCACAGGGACTACTGCTTATCCTCCAAAGAAAAACATTTCTATTGTTCAGAATGTGGTAACAAGGGAAAAGCTTGCCTTATGAAAATTATCAAATTTTGCCCCAGCCCTGGCAGCCCGATTGCAAAAAATGTACAATGTGCACACTATTTAGGTAAGTGGCAGAGTGAACTCTTTACTGATGGCCCATGATCAAAAAAATTCTAGAAAATGGAAATTCAGGGTAATTTGAAGAACTGTTTGTATTCATCAGTTGCCTCCTTTGTTTCTCATGTAATCTTTGTTCAGACATCAACATATTGCAATAGTGACCAGTAGTACTTTGGTAGTACTCTCTTCAACATTGACAAGCTGGTGAATGGTTATGTAACTGGGCAAGACAGAGGCAGAAGAAAAAAATCTCCTGAATATTTCTGAAGTTCAGACACAAGCAATTTTAAGAATCTATTGTTTCATTACAATGAGTCCATGGTAAAATGCGTTCAGATCAGTGCAATAGGAAGTACTACAGGTGAGATTATTCAGAAACAAATCAAAATTAATAAAATCTCAATCGCTTCTCGGCCTTTTGGCTAAGATCAAGTGTAAAATCTCAGTGAGCATGGAGAGGCCTTTAGTCAGCCAAACATGTTTGGTTTTATCAGTCCCATTTGCTCATAGACAAAGTCTGCAAAACTGGGCATCAGGCAATATCCAGGGATAATGAGAAAGAACTCCATTGAAGAATGAGTAGCAATCTGTATTTCTCTGTTAAGAAACTTTCAGTAAAGTTACTCTCTTCTAAGGTTGTCACATTTTAAAGCTAAAAGAACATTTATTTCCTTATAAAGGGAAGTTTTTTTCAAATGTGGCACTTGTCTGCAAATTCAATTAGAATCATTATTATGTACTCTCCCTCTCATATATTTTGGTATCTTTCCATAGTTTTCCTTTTTCTTTCTTGCCTCAGCACTATCTCTGTCTTCTTAAAGATCCATCAATGGATCTCTCCCTCTAAACTTCAAACTGACTTACTCATATGAAGCAAGATAGTCAATGTCTTCATCAACATCATTGAACCCAGGAGTTCTATTTCGCTTTAAAAATAAACATATGCAAAAACATATGATTAGAGATTTGCCACTTTGAGCCATGATGTGTACAATTTATTTGAACAGCGAAATTCTTTGAGTCTAAAAGATGTAGTAAACATGACCTAAATGTTTAAACAGAATTTCAGAATCAGTGTCCTGAAAACTATTTTCCCATGGAAGATTCTGAAACTGAATTTCATCAATCTTAATTGTCCACACATCTCTTTCTCTTTCTTCCCCTCTCTTTCCATATCTATATACATGTGTATGTATATATATGTGTGTATATATGCATGTGTGTATATGTGTGTGTTTATGTGTGTGTGTGTATATATAGGCATCACCTTTCACTTTAGGCTCCATCCAAGCTTTCTGATGTCACGTTATCATGATCAATGCTAAAGGACAGAAAGGTACATAGTAAGTAACAACATAAATTCATATACTTACTTATTTTGGCTCAAATTGTCTATAATTATTCTACAAATTACATGCTCACAGTTCTCATGTAAATCAGTTATTTGGAACCTAATATTTCATTTTTCCCTAGATACAAGTGTTTATATGTTTGAATGAAAAGTTTTAAGCCTATCCAAAAATTTTACTGAATCAAGATTTAAACAGTTTTTTATATCTGAACCTAACCGTCACGTATAACAGTATTTTGAGCTTAAATTTTGCTTCACATTCAAATTCAGACTGATTCCTCAAGTCCCTCCACCACCTCTGTACTCATCATGAATCACAGATATCTTTCCTGCCCCTCAAATAGGGTCAAATAACTGCAAGCTTGAGGCAGGAGCTCCATCCAACGTGATGGTGGGTTTGCGTTTGGGGCAACAGCCTCACATGGTGGCAGAGAACTCTTGAGGATGAGGGACAGATAAAAGGTCTATTAGCTCCTCTCTTTGCATGGGGGGCATCTCGGCTCCCTGTTCACTGCTACTACCTCCTTGCTTCCAAATAAGATTCTCTCCTCTCTTGGATCATTTTTTTTTTAAGACAGAATCTTGCTTTTGTCACCCTGGGCAGTGTGGCATCATCATAGCTCACTGCAACTTTAAACTCCTGGGCTCAAGCAATCCTCCTGCCTCAGTCTCTTGAGTAGCTGGGACTATAAGTGCAGGTAACTGTGCCCCGCTAATTTTTCTATTTATAGGAGAAATGAGGCCTTGCTCTTGTTCAGGCTGGTCCTGAATTCCAGAACTCAAGCAATCCTCCTGCCTTGGCCTCCTAGAGTGCTAGGATTACAGGTATGAGCTACCACACCTAGCCAACTAATCTTGAAATTTAAGTATAAGAAATATAAAAGAAAGTTACAGAACTATTGAGGCTCCCAGTAATAATGCCAGATATTCAGAAGTTTCTAAGTGTGTACTGACTGAGTGAGAGTTTCCATAGTTCCTTTCCTGTTTTTCCGTCAGATAACAATTGCCTTAAGGAGCTGGAAATGAGATTATCTCCCTTTCCAACCCTGAAATATCAATAATAAGTACAGTGCATATGGATACTTATCACATTTATCTCCCCAACCTGACCAAAAAACATGTTTCTCTCTTTTTCTTTAGAAATTAAACTTTCTCAGAAACCAGGTCAAATTTAAGATAAATTCTTTTGGAGTTTGAATACTTGAGATTTTGATGAACTTGTTGATGAATATACCACCAATTCATGCTTTCCTACTGTTCTCTTTGGTGGTTCCTAGGTAATACACAAAATCCTTGCTAATATTTTAAGACTTGAAAATGTTACAGTACAGAACAGAAGATAATTACAGTAGCAAATCCCCTGACAATATTATCATAGAAACATTAAGATGGTGATGATGCTTTACTGTATAATCTCACTTGTTCCTCACAAGAACCCTGTAAAGTCAGTCCTGTTATTATTCCCACCATGTTAGAGATGAAGGAAGCAAGACTTGGGGAGATTAAGTCTATAACTCCTCAAGGAACTGAAACTGCTAACCGTTGTGCTTCACTGTCTCTCCTGAATAAAGGCACATGTTTTATATCTCAATACAGGTTTTAATTATTTTTATATTCTATTATTTTTTAGTAGTTAATTCAGAAAAAATACATTGATTAGACTAGATTCCTCCTTATTCTTTTAACATGAACTTTGGTTTTCAATAAAACACTTAAAACCTTTTACTCAAAAAAAACCCCTATATATAACATACTAATTTATTACAAACTAAAAATCACATAGTTGTGGGGCTTTGGGGAATATGTAGTCATATCTATGCTAAAAATCCTTAAAGGCATCTCCTGTCAGCTTATAGATATACAGTGATTTTGCCCAACATACTTACATTGATATAGATATAAATATACCTGGTATAGAAGAATGGACCATGGTAAATTCTCTACCCAAATGTAAAATCCATATATTTAAACTTATGAGAAATCTGAAGAAGTATACTATATGCACATCCTGCAAGACTTATGTTCCATTCTGAAGAAATGAATCTTGACCTAGCACCAAGAACTGTTTAGCAAGAATTAATTTTTAAATGAAATAGATATAGTCTTATTTATAGTTAAAGTCTTGTTCCTTAGTAATTATTAAAGGTGACACTGGTATGTTTTATCACTGGTAACTGGAATTTTAAATCATGTTTATAACTAAACTTAGAACACCTAAGTTTCATCAAATAATGAAATCCAAAGATGTTCTAAGAGTAAGCAAAATCTTTCCTTAATATCAGACATTATTTTGGTAGTTTTTATCCCCTTTTAAAATTCTGTGATGCTACAGAAGGGGAAAGGAGCTAACATTTATTCATATGTATTATATGCCAACTGTGCTAAACAACTCAATAACTTTATCTAATTTTTCACATTCTTCCAATGAAGTAGCTTTAATTTGATAGATGAGGAAAATGAGGCTCAGGAGGTTAAATAATTTCCTCAAAGGCAAAAGGCTCACAATTGACAGAGCTGGGATCTCTACTCAGGTTTACATAAGTAAAAAGTCTTTGTTTGTTTAACCTTACCTTCCACAAAACAGAAACCATAACACTTTAAGCAATATACCTTGCACCTCATTAATGCAATGGTTTTATGACTAAAGGACACAAGCATAAGACTTTACAAGTTGTAATGTTCTCCAAATTTAGGTAGAATCTCATACCCAATATTTAATGTCTTAGAAGATTCACTAAATAATATCCTGCTTAGCAACTAAAAAACTGTTATCATTTGCATTTCTCAACCCTTTCATGTCATAGAAATTCAGGGTGCATTTTTGCCATATAATTTTTACTTCTTCATTTTCCTTATCAAATTTCTAGAATTCAGTGAAATACTAATTATTATTATTTTTTTTTGAGACAGAGTCTTGCTCTGTTGCCTAGGCTAGAGTGCCATGGTGTCAGCCTAGCTCACAGCAACCTCAAACTCCTGGGCTCAATCAACTCTTCTGCCTCAGCCTCCCAAGTAGCTGGGACTAAAGGCATTGCGCCACCATGCCCGGCTAATTTTTTCTATATATTTTTAGTTGGTCAATTAATTTCTATTTTTAGAGGAGATGGGGGTCTTGCTCTTGCTCAGGCTGGTCTCAAACTCCCAACCTTGAGTGATCCTCCTGCCTCAGCCTCCCAGAGTGCTAGGATTACAGAAATACTAACTCTTTTTAAAAACCACTGTCAGATTTCTTTTAGTGCACCATGAAGATATCTATACAGTGTTCTAAAATTCAGGTATATATCTAGACTCTAAAACTGAAAATCTGGCAGAAATAATCTCAATCAATAAATTTTATAAACCTTTGCAGTTAATACTTACCTGCTTCATTGTTAATAGGGAACTCCCACAGTTTACCCTCTTTAGTCCACTGGATCTTCTCTTGAACCCCATTCCAAAAGGACTGGTTTGTTTACTGTGGCTAACTGCTTCACAAATTCCACATTCCAAAGTGAAGGTGAGGTGTCTGTATAATAAAAGCATTTCACATAAGCAGAAGTCAAGCACTTATATTCAGAATGAAAATATAAAGCTTCTTGCAAAACATTTATCTGTTCAGAATTCAGTAAGCTCCACTTATTCTAAATCAGGGGACCTCTTCAGCATGGGCAGATGTGAGGCAGGGCTCATTTTGATTTAAGGTATGGAAAAATCTAGGACTGCTAAATCCAGAACATCTTTCTCTCTCTAGGAAATGGTATCAGAGAGTGAGCACACAGCTATAAATGCATTCCTAATGTTTAGGCACCCATCAGCAATAATATACACAAGCAATAAAGTAAATCTACAGTTAATGTAAAAACAAACCACACAAACAAAATCCAATAGGCTACAAAGCCTGATACCTTTTTCTAAGATCAGCAGTCTTTTCCCAGCTAACGTAATTGTCAAATCCTTCATCAAACTTAATCTGATGCTCTGGTCTTGTACTAGCTCTGGCTGTAGCAGATCTGGCAACTTTCATATTTGATATTATGTTACCAAAACTGAAATAATAAAAAGGTATATTAGCTACAGAATAGTAATACATTTTCTTAAGCAGGAGATTGATATCATTTACGTACTATTTCACTTTTATGCACTAATACAGCATAAAAGTTATGCTTAAATAAAAAATGTCACATGTTAACATTCACATAAGAGACTACTGAGATTTGTTTACTTCTATCTTTTAAAGATGTTCTTCAGAAATCTTCATTTAAAACATAAAAGTATCACTTATGAAAAATTAGGAAATATCCAGAGAAGCTAAGAGGAAAGTACAATCAGTATCTGTATGCCTAGCATCTACATTCAATAAATAAAGTTTAGATTTAGCCATTTTTATTTGTTGCCTTGAGTCACTCAACTGACATTCCAGATATTTATGGTTTTCTTTTAACTTTCTGAGATAAATCTGTTACACATGCTCATTGAGAATGACTGATATAAATCACTCTCCAAAATGAAGCAGTGCCACTACTTACTACATGTGGGCTGCAGCAGTATAACCTGGCATAAAGTAATGAGAGAATAGGATAAGTAGAATGATGTCAGCTCAAACATAAGACTAAGAGGAAAAAGAAAAGGAAACAGGATGGAAGATTAACATACTGTGCATAACACCAGCAATAACACTAAACGCTGATAGAAGGTTCCAAGATATATCTTCTGTATACATTACACACATAATACTATATCCTCCAATATTTCCAATTTTGGTTTAAGTGGAAAAGTAGAACAAGAATGTAAAAAAACTTACAAAGCAATCTAAGTATAGAATCCTTTTACATTTTTATGCTTGTCTTATTCAAACCTAATTGCAAAGGAGTTTCAAAAATTACCTTTACTGACTCTTTCCAAAGTAGTCAACCCATTTCAACCATTTCTGTGAAAGTTATTTAATAATTCAACTGCATGATTACAATGAAGAGCACAATGGGTCATAAATA